CCGCACATTCGCTCTGTTATTTCAACACAGAACAAGTGAAGAGCAAATATAATTTATTTTTTTAATTCCTCTACCAACGGGGGATTCTGTGGAAATTTTACCTCGTTAAATAAAGAGGTATTGTTGTGAAATAGTGACATGATGTTGTGAGTGTGACAACAACAGAGCTGGTTCAATGGCAGCAACACTACTAAGTCCTCTCCTCTCTGGGTATGGGCGATCTATAGAGCTCGTTTTCCTTTGTGTTCTGTCTTTGCTTTGCGCTCTGTCCCCTCCCTCTCCACTCGAAAGGGAGTGTTTACAGCCATGGCCTGAAGGAAGTTGCCTATTACAGCGGCGGACACCGGTCATTGACCAGCCGAGGGACTGAACATACTACCGTCGCTGGAGCGAAAGCCGCCGTTTTGATCTCCTCCATCGTGGTAAGAGCAAGGGGGCGGGTTGTTATGCTAGTGTTGGTTGCAGTGTTATTGTTGGTCATTGTGAATATTAGGGTCAAGGCGGTGTTTGAAAATGTTAATAGGGAGAGGGTTGAGGGTGGTGGTGTGTTTGTGATGGTGGTGGTTGATCAATATGGGTGTGCGCGCGCACACACACACACACACACACACACACACACACACACACACACACACACACACACACACACACACACATATATATAGGAGCCGGTGACTGAGAGGACAGCACGCTGTACACGTGATCCTGTGGTCCCGAGTTCGATTCCGGGCGCCGGCGAGAAACAATGGGCAGAGTTTCTTTCACCCTAATGCGCCTGTTACCCAGCAGTAAATAGGTACCTGGGAGTTAGTCAGCTGTCACTGTCACTCCTGGGGTGTGTGTGTGGTGTGGGGAAAAAAGTAGTTAGTAACAGTTGATTGACAGTTGAGAGGCGGGCTGAAAGAGCAAAGCTCAACCTCCGCAAGCACAACTAGATGAATTCAACTAGGTGAATACACACACACACACTCTCGCACAAAGAAGCGACATAACACTTTACTACCACAATAAAATATATGATACGCCAATCAACAAACAGAAGCAGCTTCGGTAAGCACCCATACATTCTCCGTGTAGTGTCTCAGTAGCCAGCCAACATTGGTCATTTGTTGTCCTTACATAAGGCTGCGTCCTGAGACTCGGTTCATAAGGCTGCTCGTACTTAATGTAGACCTTCGCCTATTTTGGGGTTTTCAACATAATTGCCAATAAATGTGAAGCATGTTGTATGATGAGTTAAGGAATCTCTGCATCTTAAAGTAATTTGCCAGTTTAGCTGAAATTTAAATATGTTACATTGTGCTTTATATATATATATATATATATATATATATATATATATATATATATATATATAACTTTAGACACCCACCCACCAGGAGACTCGAACCATGGCCATGAAGATGGCAGGTACGCACTTGTATCCACTACACCATACTCAGAGCCGATAAAGAGGTGGGAATTCCAGGGTATTTAACCCCCAGATATCCCCCCCCCCCTCTCCAGGCAACTAGAGAAAGTGAGTGATCACTCACGTTTTCCATCAAGCCCTGTTATATATGGGAGAACACGGTGGCCATGCTTAATGCACTGACTTGCTTTAAACGACAAGTATGAAGTATAGAACTTTAGACAGACACACCCACCAGGAGACTCGAACCCCTAGCCATCAAGATGGCAGGTACCCACTTTTACCCACTACACCATACTCAGAGCCCATAAAGTGGTGGGAATTCCGGGGTATTTAACCCCCCCTTTAGGGAGGATATCTGGGGGTTAAATACCTCGGAATTCCAACCTCTTTATGGGCTCTGAGTATGGTGCAGTGGGTACAAGTGCGTACCTGCCATCTTGATGGCCAGGGTACGAGTCTCCTGGTGGGTGTGTGTGTCTAAAGTTCTATACTTCAAACCAGCAAGGTTTAAAGCAAGTCACTGCATTATATATATATAGAGTGAAAACTCCACACCCCGGAAGGATTCGAAGCGAGACGGCCAGGAGCACTGTGCAGCCAAGAGCACTCGTCGACCAGGAGGCCTGGTCGACGACCGGGTCGCGGGGACGCCAAGCCCTGGAAGCACCTCAAGGTAACGAAGGGAACCTTGGCGTACCTGGTTCCTTAACCGCTTGACCACAAAGACTGTACAAATGTGGTGGGGGTTAATGGTGGGGCGAGTGGTGGGGTTAATGTTGGGGCGAGTGGTGGGGTTATTGATTGGGTGAGTGGTGGGTTTAATGATGGGGCGAGTGGTGGGGTTATTGATTGGGTGAGTGGTGGGGTTAATGGTGGAGGAAGTGGTCAGGTTAACGATGGGGCGGGTGGTGAGATCAGAGGCTGGATGGGTACTGAAATGAATTTTGTGTTGAGCTGGTATGATAGAGAGACACTCCTACTGACGCACTGACTATAATCTTATATGTCTCCCTGTGGCAGGAAGCGCCACCGAGAGACATTGGGGGAGACCCCAGGAGAGCCGCCCCACCTTCCTCACATGAACTGCAGTCCAATGACTCTTTGTCTAAACACTAAATGAGCCACAAGGATCAATATTCCCTCCTTTGTTTCTTGAGGACTCCAAGGAAGGCTTGCATCAGGTCATATTTTATTTTGGTGGAACAGGGGGTGGGATTGTCTTCTGGGTCACGGGGAGAAGAGGTTTCAACATGTGGAGCAGGAGTGTGAAGTGGAGTAATAACTTAACTGAACATTGTTGTTAATAAAACAAAAAACTATTTTTTCTAAATATCTTGATGATTTTGATTAACCATTTACCAAAAATTGGCTGAAATATTTAATAAAATAGCTATGATATTTCTTGGGTTACCTCGACACCAGGGCTCCACCCAACCACTTGGGGTGGACGGTAGAGAGCGATGGTCTCGCTTCATGCAGGTCGACGTTCAATCCCCGACTATCCAAGTGGTTGGGCACCATTCTTTTCCCCCGTCTCGTCTCAAATCCTTATCCTGATCTCTTCCAAGTGCTATACAGTCGTAATGGCTTGGCGCTTTCTCCTGATAGTTCCTTCCTTCCACACCAGGGCTCTTGAATGGGCCAAGGAAAATAAATTATGAGGATAAAGTGCTAAGACAGTATGGATTAATTCGTGTGTGATTTTCCCCAAAGTCGTTCAATTCATACGGAAGGAACTTATTATTACAAACACATTTTAAAATGATAGAGGATTTTCCTATAATGTCTTTTATGGTAAGTTTACTGACAAAAACAATTTCGTCTTTGTTCTGCTCTAGCATACATTATTTGGTTTGGCCACGAAAAGTTTGGTTAGGCTGGGTTCGGCATGGATTTAGTTGACTTTGCTTGGCAGGATTAATATAGGTTGAACTAGATTAGGTTCAGCTTGGTATAATTACGTTTGCTTAAATTAGACCGTGCTATCATACCTTTACATATATGTATATATGCATTAAAAAATACGCATATAGTAGTATATTTAAATATCACACATACATTCATATACATATACAGATTAATGAAACATCATCCTGAACATACGCACACATACTGATTATTGAAATACCGCCAAATCATACATATATGAATAATCAAACACACAGAGCATCATGAAAATGATGGTGTGTGTCAGTGGCTGTTCTCTTCAATGACACATTAATGAATGTGTCACCTACTTGAACTGCTTCACGCTACACTTAACACACATATATGAACGGTGTTATTAATTTATCCTTTCCAGTGTGAGCACTGAACAGTAGTAGAGAATGTGAGCACCAGACAGTAGTAGTGAATGTGAGCACTGAACAGTAGTAGAGAATGTGAGCACTGAACAGTAGTAGAGAATGTGAGCACCAGACAGTAGTAGTGAATGTGAGCACTGAACAGTAGTAGAGAATGTGAGCTGATGTATGTATGCAAGGACGGACGTTATATTTTTGTCGTGACATATTCTTACATTGCATCAGATTCATTTATGTTATATTTGATTAAATAGCAATTTAAATAATACATAATTGTGAACATATATACATTAAATACATCTGCTTCTCTCAGAAGGAGACAAGGGTGAGTTTAAGTTGCTTAATTATGTGTTCTACTCAAAACCGAGTAATCGGAGTTCAATTTCCGAGCATGACAGAAACGGTTTTGCATATTTTCTTTGACCTGATCCTATTGTTCACCTTGCAGTAAAAAAGGTACTCGGAATAGGCAGCTGTTGTGGCTTTCATCCTGTAGAAAATAAGAACTTGGCCTAGAGCGACCTTGATAATTCTTAGTACAGGATTCCTGTTCCCGACAACGGAATAACAATGATGGAAAATATGATATTGATTCACACCGAAACATTGATGACGTAGGAGCGAATCCTTTCCACTCTTAATAGGCAATGACGAATATTTGATCTTACCTAAAATTCTTTGAGATTAATGAAAACGAGAATATAGTGCATGTTAGTCAATTTTGTGTCGTTTTCATCATTACCGGTACCATCATAATCATCATAGACATCATCATAATGTTTCAATCGATTTTGAGATCTATTCCTACGGTGTTTGGAGGAAGGAATAAATTGGACAGACCAGTTATAGAAACCTTCAGCATTATAAAGAACACACGAGTGAATCAATGATTTTTTTTCACTTCACTTTACACATTCAAGTATATTTGTAACCATTCCTAGTAGTACGGCGCCCCATTCAGGGAATAATGTGATAAAAGGAGAATGATGGAACGAAGGAAAAGTGATAGAAGAACCTTAAATAAAATAGAGTGATAACAAGGGAGTCATCGGATTAGCAAGAAGAACGACGCAGAAAAATTGAAAGAATCTATAGTGTTGACGGGAGAGTGATGAAAGGCCGCGGTAATGGCTTCCCTTGGGGAATAAAGGAGGCGATTAACACAAATATTGACAACCTTTCATCAGAATGTGTCAGGAAATTCTCTCCAGACACGGACCAAGCCATTTTTGTTGTGCTATGTCCACACTATTGGTGAGTGTCCTCTTTATAGTTTAGGGCTCTCATTGTTGTGGAGGGCCCTCCCTGTTGTGGAGGGCCCTCCCTGTTGTGGAGGGCCCTCCCTGTTGTGGAGGGGCCTCCCTGTTGTGGAGGGCCCTCCCTGTTGTGGAGGGCCCTCCCTGTTGTGGAGGGGCCTCCCTGTTGTGGAGGGCTCTCTTTGTTGTGGAGGGCACCCCCTGTTGTGGAGGGCCCTCCCTGTTGTGAAGGGCCCTCTCTTTTGTGGAGGTCTCACTCTGTTGTGGAGGACCCTCTCTGTTGTGGAGGACCCTCTCTGTTGTGGAGGTCTCACTCTGTTGTGGATGACCCTTTCTCTTGTGGATGACCCTTTCTCTTGTGGATGACCCTTTCTCTTGTAGAAGGTTGTGCCTGTTACGGAGGGTCCTCTCTGTTGTTGAGGTGGGTTCTCTAACGTGGATAGTACCCTCAGTTGTGAAGGGTTTTCTCTGTTGTGGAGGATTCTTCGTTTTGAAGAGGGTCCTCTCTGTTGTGGAATATTCTCCCTGTTGTGAAGAGTCCTCTCTGTTGTAAAATGTTCTACCCATATGAATGGTTCTCTCTGCTGTTTAAAGTCCTTTCTGTTGAAGAAGGTTCTCCCTCATGTGGAGGATTATCTTTGTTTGTGGGGAATCCTCTCTTTTATAAAGGGTCCTCCCTCCTCTGGAGTATCCTCTTCGTGTTGAATACACACACACACGTGGTGGAGGCTGACTCCATACACAGTTTCAAGTGTAGATATCATAGAGCCCAATAGGCTCAGGAACCTGTACACCTGTTGATTGACGGTTGAGAGGCGGGACCAAAGAGCCAGAGCTCAACCCCCGCAAACACAATTAGGTGAGTACACACACACACACACACACACACACACACACACACACACACACACACACACACACACACACACACACACACACACACACACACACACACACACACACACACACACACACACACACACACACACACTCACGCACACACACACACACACACACAACTTTATGCAAAGACATCTAAACCCAAAGTGAAACAAATGATTTAAGGAACAATGAATTTTCAGCTTTCATTAATCTCGGAAGAGCGACAAGATAATAGAATTTGCATATCAAAACACCACGAGTAGGAAAAACTTTAGATTTATAGCCACAATGCAGACATGTAAACATATAGACAGACAGACAGACAGGCATAAGAACATCGAAACACTGGAAACAGCATAAAGTCTATAGACTCATGCAAAGCAAATAATTAAACCATAAATGACTTGAGCGCTTTCGTGTTAGCCCATTATCAAAGGTACAATCATTTAAAGTTGTTGTTTTAGATTCAGCCACTCGGAACAAAATGTTCCAAGTAGCACGGGCTATGGTGAGCCCGTAGTGGAGTTACCTGACACAGGAGCGGGGCTGTGGATCCTGTTCGCTGAAATACAACTCTTGAATAAATAGGCAGGAAGGTGACGTGGAAACATTAGAATAAAAGGAATCAAAATTAGGTCTAATGACCAATACATATGAGTTTCTGGAAGCACTATCTCTAATGACTATTAGATGTATTGGTAATTAGGGATTGTAATTCCCACGTCTGCATTGAAATTCTCAAATCTGGATTGTAATTCTCACGTCTGCATTGAAATTCTCACATCAGCATTGTAATTCTCACGTTTACATTAAAAAATATGCTTTGCATATTTTTTCCATGAGGGTCGCAAAAAAATCTCATTACTAAAATCAATGAATTCCTTATAATAAACTTGTTGTTCGAACAACGTAGTTTCACCAGTAAACAAAAAGATCAATGGTCATATACACAAACATTTTGTTTCGCACCAATCACCGTCCAGAACGCTTCATGCATGTTTCAACGACTGCCTCACATCAATTATTGTACAGCTGTCGAGAAGCGAAATATAGAGATGTTTCTTCTTTGATGATTTTTGTTAGTGAAATGTTGCCTGTCGCACCTGTCGATACGCCTCTTCCCCCTCGATCCTTTACAGTTTTTAAACCAGATGTATATATATATATATATATATATATATATATATATATATATATATATATATATATATATATATATATATATATATATATATATATATATATATATACAGTATTGTGTATATACAGTTTTTTCATGTATATACAGTAGTGGGGATGTGCGTGCGTTCCTTTATTATTATATTATTCTTGCTAATATTATAATCAATATAAATAAAATACAATTTTCAAGTTTGTTGAGTTGCTGGAGTATAAAAATATCATTCATACTTGTCTCACACAAACTGTTGATTACGGGTCCCTGCAGCAGGTGTAAGTCTTTACGTAACGAGGCCATTAGTCATACGAATACTTGTATCACTACACTCGGTACGATGAATAATTACCCCGCCGTCTCCTTCAGTTATTCCATAATGACAACTCAATGAAAACGAATGAGACAAGTTGATTGATTATGATACCTGGTTACCTGGTTGATGGGGTTCTGGGAGTTCTTCTACTCCCCAAGCCCGGCCCGAGGCCAGGCTCGACTTGTGAGAGTTTGGTCCACCAGGCTGTTGCTTGGAGCGGCCCGCAGGCCCACATACCCACCACAGCCCGGTTGGTCCGGCACTCCTTGGAGGAATAAATCTAGTTTCCTCTTGAAAATGTCCACGGTTGTTCCGGCAATATTTCTTATGCTTGCTGGGAGGACGTTGAACAACCGCGGACCTCTGATGTTTATACAGTGTTCTCTGATTGTGCCTATAGCACCTCTGCTCTTCATTGGTTCTATTCTACATTTTCTTCCATGTCGTTCACTCCAGTACGTTGTTATTTTACTGTGTAGATTTGGTACTTGGCCCTCCAGTATCTTCCAGGTGTATATTATTTGATATCTCTCTCGTCTTCTTTCTAGTGAGTACATTTGGAGGGCTTTGAGACGATCCCAATAATTTAGGTGCTTTATTGCGTCTATGCGTGCCGTATATGTTCTCTGTATTCCCTCTATTTCAGCAATCTCTCCTGCTTTGAAGGGGGAAGTGAGTACTGAGCAGTACTCAAGACGGGACAACACAAGTGCCTTGAAGAGTACAACCATTGTGATGGGATCCCTGGATTTGAAAGTTCTCGTAATCCATCCTATCATTTTTCTGGCTGTCGCAATATTTGCTTGGTTATGCTCCTTAAACGTTAGGTCGTCCTACATTATTATTCCCAAATCCTTTACATGCTGTTTTCCTACTATGGGTACATTTGATTGTGTTTTGTACTCTGTATTATGTTTAAGGTCCTCATTTTTACCGTACCTGAGTACCTGGAATTTATCACTGTTAAACATCATGTTATTTTCTGATGCCCAGTCGAAAACTTTATTAATATCAGCTTGAAGTTTTTCAATGTCCTCAGCCGAGGTAATTTTCATACTGATTTTTGTGTCATCTGCAAAGGATGATACGAAGCTGTGACTTGTATTTTTGTCTATATCTGATATGAGAATAAGGAAAAGCAGTGGTGCAAGGACTGTACCCTGAGGTACAGAGCTTTTCACTGCACTTGGACTAGATTTTATATGGTTGACAGTTACTCGCTGAGTCCTGTTTGACAGAAAACTGAGTATCCAGCGTCCTACTTTACCGGTTATTCCCATTGACTTCATTTTGTGTGCTATCACGCCATGGTCACATTTATCGAAGGCCTTTGCGAAGTCCGTGTATATCACATCAGCATTCTGTTTCTCTTCTAATGCCTCAGTGACTTTGTCGTAGTGCTCAAGTAGCTGTGAGAGGCACGATCTTCCCGCTCGAAATCCATGTTGGCCTGGGTTATGAAGGTCATTGGTCTCCATGAAATTGGTGACCTGACTCCTAATCACTCTCTCAAATACTTTTATGATGTGCGATGTTAGTGCAACTGGTCTATAATTTTTTGTCAATGCTTTGCTCCCTCCCTTGTGTAGAGGGGCTATGTCTGCTACTTTAAGTGCATCTGGTATCTCCCCCGTGTCCAAGCTCTTCCTCCACACTATACTGAGTGCCTGTGCTACCGGCACTTTGCATTTCTTTATAAATATTGAATTCCATGAGTCTGGACCTGGGGCCGAGTGCATGGGCATGTTTTCAATTTCTTTTTCAAAATTTAGTGCGCTCGTGTTTATATCAGTTATATTTACCGGGGTTTGAATATCCCGCATAAAGAAAATGTCTGGATCTTCCACCTTCATGTTGTTTATTGGAGTGCTAAACATGTCCTCATACTGCTTTTTTAGGATTTCACTAATTTCTTTGTCATCCTCCGTGTATGAACCTTCACTTGTACGAATAGGTCCAATACTGGCAGTGGTTTTTGCTTTTGATTTCGCATATGAGAAGAAATATTTTGGATTTTTCTTTATTTCCTGAATTGCTTTCTGTTCTAACTGCCTTTCTTCAGTTTCATATGAGTGTTTCAATTTCCGCTCGATTTCTTCAATCTCCCTATTTAAATTATTCCTTCTTTGACCGGAAATTCGTGTCTGCATAAGCAGTTCCGTTATTTTTTTCCTGCGTTTATAGTGTCGTCTGCGTTCTCTTTCTACGTTAGATCTCTTTCTGGCTTTCCTCAAAGGAACATGTTTCAGACAGACTTGATACGCTTCTGAAGTAAGTTTTTCTATTCTTTCTGTAGGACTTGTATTATTTAGAACAGTTCCCCATGGAATGTTTGTAAGTTCCCTGTTTATTATCTCCCAGTCTATCCTTTTATTATTAAAATTGAATTTACTGAATAGCCCCTCTCGCTTTATCAACGTTTTAGGTCTATTCTGAGTATTGATGGTCGTTTGCACTTCAATGAGTTTGTGATCTGAGTATGTGGTATCTGATATCGTAATGTCTCTGATAATGTCTTCATTGTTCGTAAAGACCAGATCTAGAATATTTTCATGTCTCGTTGGCTCCGATATCTGCTGATTGAGTGAAAATTTGTCACAGAATCTAAGTAGTTCTCTAATCTGTGGTTGGTTAGGTCCTGATAGATTTCCTGGTATAATATTATTGTTTGCTATTTTCCACCTGAGACTAGGCAAGTTGAAGTCACCTAGGAAAATAATATCAGGTATCGGGTTCTCCAAATTATCAAGGCTATTCTCTATTTTGCTTATCTGTTCTGTGAATTCCTCAGCCGTTGCATCTGGCGGTTTGTATATTAGTATAATCACTAAATTTATTTTCTCTATTTTTAATCCCAGTACCTCTACCACCTCATTTGTAACGTTTAGGAGCTCCGAGCATACAAGGTCTTCCCTAATATACAGACCCACTCCTCCATGTGACCTAATTTTCCTATCACACCTGTATAGGTTATATCCTGGAATCCAGATCTCACTGTCCAACAATTCCCCTGCATGGGTTTCTGTGAAAGCTCCAAATACTGCATTTGACTCCGTGAGGAGGCCATTTATGAACTGTACTTTGTTGTTTGTTCTTGTTTTCAGTCCTTGTATGTTGGCAAAGATGAATGAGGTTACTCTATTAGTGATAGTTTGAATGGGAGACTTTTTCGGCACGTCCATTAATCGTGGACAT